GAAAAACTGACTACATCAAAAAATTAATGTTAAGGAATCTATGCAAAGAATATAGAGTTTTCAATGGCATCAAATAGAAAATGATGCACAAAAAAGATTTGACAATAATAAACCTCTTTTGTTTTTATTTTTTAAATTATCTTATGTTGCACTACAAAACTTTACTTTAAAATAGTAATAAGTTTATGCATGTGATATGCAAGCTTCTTCATAAAATTATTTTATTGCAACTACAGTAAATAAATTAGACTATAAAATAATCATTCCAATCTTCTATCTAATGGTAATTCAAAGTGCTTACAAAACCGCATTAACTAAAAAGATTTGACTTGGCTTTAGCAAATAAAATAAATAAATAATAAACTTCCTAATATTTCTTTTAGTCTTCTTAATCAAAATAAAATATAGGTTACATTTTTATTGCAAGATCAAAACATAATTTAAATATTGGTAATCTCTGAAATCCTATATAATTAAAAAGGTTCTTATTGTAAACATCATTGTACCTTTTATTAATTCTATTATATTTGTATGCATATGTTTTAAATTTACAGTTAAACAAATTGGAACCATGATATAAAAAAATTTATGGAGCTATGGTCAAAATTAAAAACTACAACAGACACAAAAAAATAAATACACAAATATTTGTTACAAAGACAAAAAATTAAAATTAAAATTAAAAGTCTCAATATATAAAATAAAAGGATACAACAATGGCTTTACAAATAAATAGTTGAGGCACTAAAATTAGTAGTTTATAACATTAGATGTAGACTAATAGATTCAAAAAGTAAGCCCTCCAATAAAATGATGGCTAAATTTTATACATGCCTTGATTTCTAACCACAAATTAAACACTTGGCAAAAAAATAAAATCCATATTTGACAGGCTTGGATTAAATTGATTATTTAGATATATATGTGAATATATATATATATATATATATATATACACACCTTAAATCCTCCGTATTATTTTGTGAAGTATAAAACCAATTATTATAATATGATATCAACTTACTCTTTATAAAAACTATGTTCAATTTTACAAGTGTGACAAAGACTTGTTAAAAAGAATAAAGAATAAAGAATAAAAGAATAAAAAATATGTATAAAATATCAAATTAAAGAGTTATGATTGTAAAAGAAACAAAGGAATAATTTCTCATGTCTCTCTATTATTATGATTTAGCCTACACATGGTAACTACCTACTTTGGTTACTAGATATATATGCTGTACAGTATAGTGTGTCCAACTTAACTTTTAAAATAATCTGTGATATAAGATAAAATATATATATATATATATATATATATATATAATAAAAAATAATAATAATTGTCACAAGAGATTTAGTGAAGATAACTTTTGTTTTATGCCAATATATTTGTATATTTGAACACATTCTATATAATAGGCCATAAATTTATTAAAATTTTAAAAATATATAAGTTTATAGTATAAAATAACACAAAAATTGTCTTAAGTTATCTAAAAATATTTAAATTAATGATAAGCTCTAAGACCAAAAATATAAACAAAAATATAATTTTTTTATTCTATTTATATTTAAGTATTTTATTTATTTTTAATAATTTAAATGGATAATGTATGATTAAAAATTGTCTATAAATGTATAAAAAAAACTTGATTTGATGCAAAAACATCTTCTTTCTTCAGACTCTTTAGACTGAGAAAATCAAAAGTAGCAATGTATAGATTTTGAAAATGTTTTTAATACAAACATGCATAATTAGGCCATATCTTTAAAAACTAAAATTTTGTATATCTCTAAGACAAAATGTGGAATATGGAAGACATTAATATGGCACCACAAAATCTTTAAAAAAATTATGTTATTGATTTTTCATATGTTTTATAAATTATGTCTTTTTTTGGAGATAGATTTTATAATAAGTAAAATTTTAAAATTAATTAATTTTAAAATTTTACATATTAAAAACTTATGATGATACTACAAAAAAAAAAAAAAAAAAAAAAAAAAAATGACTTAGTCTAATTCTATTGAATGCATTAAAATGATATTAAATTTTATTTAAATTAGAAAATAATGCAAAAATTATTTAATACTAGAAAAAACAATAGATGACTAAACAAATGTTAGAATAAGGTAGGCACAAAGTTTTGGTTGAATTCTATTTTTAAAAAAATTATTTTTCAATCTTCTATAAATAAGATAAAAATATGTTTATTAATAATAAATACTTTGAATAATAATTTTTCTTTAATTTTTAAAATAATATTAGCACCTTATATATATATATATATATATATATATATATATTTCACTATATTAAATATATCACAAGTAAGTAAATAATAATTAAGTAAATAAATAAAACTTATTTTAGAAGAATATATTGTAGCATACAATTGCATGAAAAATAATTTGTTTTTACAACATTAGAAAATATAAGATTTAAATATAAGTTTTCATCATCTATTTTTTTGCTTGTATTTTTTTTTTCCAATATTTCTACCTTGCATTTTTTTGCATGACATAATAACCATTTCTTCATTTGTTTGTTTACTTTTTATGATTATCTTAAGATAAAAATAGAAAATTATTCATTATATTTTTTTAACATAAGGTTCTATATATTATCATTGAATCTAATTTTTTGTGTTTGAATTATCATAATAATAAAATTATATTTTTATAATTTAAAATCAAAATTTTAATCTCTTATTTATAATATTTACTAAAATATATTATAATTTAGATTTTTTTTAATGTAATATATGTGTATATATGCATATTTATAAAATAATCAAAAATAAATTTATCATACCAATTTTTTTCTAAAATTAATATTTTAACTTCGTTTTTCTACCAAATTATTTAAGTTAATTTCAAAACATTAGTTTATTAAATATTTAATATGTATTTTTAAATTTTTTTAAATATCTTCTTTTACTACATACAATATTTTGCATTTTGTATTTTCACGCTTCTACTTGTATTTGTTTGTTTATATGTGTGTGTGTATATATATATATATATATATATATACACACACATTCATACACACATTTTTATAAAATCAAAATAAATACACATCCACAATATTCACATCTTTACAATTTTAATATATTGGATGTCAAATATTTTCTAAATCTCTTCCTTTGTGAAATTTTAATATATATATTTTAGATGATTTTTATCAATTCAAATTGGTCTTCTTAAGGACTTTTTCTTATGATTCGATGTATAAAATGCATGCAAGAAGTAATTTTGGGTATACACAATTCATAGTCTAAAAAGCACATTAAAATTCATATCCATAAAAAATAAATAAATAAGATTAAAAATTATATGTATTGTATTAAAAATTACTATTACAAGACAATGTCAAAATCCTTCTTTGGATTTTTTTAAAACTGAAAATTTTACTTTGTTAAAAAGGGCATAACTCTGGGTTCTGGAGGTAAATGATATATTTCAAAATTCCTGAGACCATTTTAAACCTTCACAATAGAGCAATAAAATAGTCTTTTGAGCAATTGATATTGACTCCTCTGTAAAGCAACCCTTGTTTAAGTGTCAAACTTGTAAGGCAATGTAACCATTCACATGCTTTCCAAACTTGAAGCACAATGATGTAAGAATTTTGCTGCTTTACAATCAAAAATTTAAAATTTAGAAATGAAACATAATTGATTACATTTTATTCTTTTTTATTCTTCCCGGCTGCTCACTCTTGCCAGCATATGACACCACTTTGCTTGAAGGATATAGAATAGACCCAGAAAAAAACCAAAAAAACCAAAAATAAAATAAAATAAAATAAATGTCAAACTAACCAGGATTTGTACAGTAGCAATGACACCAGTTTTTTTTTTTTTTTTTTTTTTTTTTCCAGATTGTTTGGGCACCACGCACACAGTGAGAGTGAAGGAAGCTATGGTTTTGGCCAGAGAGGTGACTCCAAGGGAGCATGTGCCTCACCCCTAAAGGCCTGCCCCTTCGAAAGCTGCCAAGGAATTTCTAGCTATAAGACCGAGTTGGGGTCTGACAGAAACCACCCAGCTGCATCAAGTAGGGCAGAGTAATATGCTTTGATCCCCTGGCCTATTCGTCTATACAAATGGACTCTTGGCAAATAAAACACAAGCAAACCCACCTTCAGGGGACATGTGAACCCCTCCCCCCCCCCCCCCCCCCCCCCCCCCGATTTAATCAGATGTCTGAAAATACACACCCATAGCACATAAAACCAAAAATAGCTTGCATGTTTGTTAAAGGGAACTCAAACACATGAGCCTCTGATTACACATCCAAGAGCATGAAGAGAGGGGGTTTGAGAATCTAAACAAGAAATCAGATTCACCGAGCTGTCAATCTCAACAACAGAGCATCCCTGCAGAATATTTCGAGATGAGTCATACTTTGTGGTAGTAGAACGCATAGAGTGTTGTCTGTTGCTTACCCTTCACCAGCAAGATAAGGCATGGATTTGTGTGGTACAACCACCATAATCACCAAGTCTTGTTGCCCGTTCCTTCTCTGCCAGCAAACTTGTAAGCTAGTTTGATGTAGTTTAGAGGACAGAGAATTGGACGACGTGTCAATAGCTGGTTTTACAATGGAGAATCTTAACATAAAGGATTTTTGTTTGCATATATCCCCAGTCCTTGGAAGAGAGACGAAAACCGTAAAGCTCTTAAGTCAAGTGGCCCACAGCTGGAAGAACTCTTGCATTGTGCACGTTTACTGCACATCCTAAAATTCCAGGAGGTACCATACTCCCACTTCAGGGTTAATATCAAATCCTGAACTCTGATAAGGCTATTACCTCAACTTACTTGTTTGCTTTCTGGAGAAAACTGCCCTTATATCTTAGGACTGCCTAAATATCACACTGACCCAGATATTACCAACACCTCCTGTGATGGAGTAAAACCAAAAATCAACAGCAAAGTGCAAAAACAGAGTTACAATTATCAAAAAACCTGATAAAGATCGACATGAGGTTTGAAGAACATGAAGTGTTTCGTGCTACACTTAATGGTATAACACATGCAAATAGCTCTTTAATGAATAAATGGAAGTGTGGTACTGAAACAAGGTGCGAGCGATGATGGTGAAATGCTCTCCGATGTGTATGTCTGTGTCTCTCTACCCTTTGAGATTGGGAGCAACTACCTAAGCTAATTCAAAAAGACTTGTATCCCTGGTCGGGACAAACCAAAGTCGGTTTCTATTGCCGGCCCTTGATGTTCAAGGCTGCAAGGGGGTTGATTAAGATCTAACAAGAAGGGGTAAGCTGTTCTTCGCATCACGGGCTTCGCGTCGTGCGGTGTAGGGGGGGTCGCACATGCTGCCTCAGAGTTGAGAATCACGGAAGAGGACGAGTCGCAGTCACTATGACAGGCACGCGTCTCAGGAGTAGTTTCAGAGAGCTGCTGTTGCATTCCAAGTGCAGTAGTTGCTAAGCTGCCAAGCCAATCACAACCAACGGATAACCCCTCGGTTGGAGTTATCGGAGTAGGTTTCTTCAAGGTTCTCTGGCGTTTGCTATCAGCTACATGGCCAGCCTCCTCAAAAGGGACTTGAATCGGGTTCGGCGCGACTCGTATGCTTGATAGAGCACAAGTAACGCCCTCCTCTACGCAAGACCGACCTGCACTTACACTCTTATATTGGTGTTGCCCACCATCGTCAACAACGAACAATGAATCCTGAGCCACGGAAATATTCAGGTCCAGGCGATTACGCCACGAAGAAGTATCTAATGCCCCGACAGTAGATCGATAGTGATTACTTTGAATGCTTTTGGATGGATGGTGCCCGCTCTGCTTCAAGGACCCATTGGACAGAGACTCCACAGTTGAGCTCTGACTAGTCATGCTCTGATCATCTCCACTATGAGGAGGTGACGCGAAGTTCGTTTTGGCCTTGGTACCCCTCAAAGCTCTTGCCGCTGAAAAAAAAAAAAAAAACAAAAAAAAACAAAAAGTTGGGAAGGTTAGCTCCAAGAAAGAAATCGCATAATTCGAAACTTCAATCGCACATCGCCACTATGACGGACCTTCGCAGCTACGAGGTCCACTTCAAAATGCATTACAATCAATGCATTTGGAACGTACCGCTATCATATGCACGTGCAGCTTCTTCCGCGGTATCAAAGGTTCCCAACCACACGCGCGTCTTCTTCCACGGATCTCGAATCTCAGCCGCAAACCGACCCCAGGGCCGCTTCCTCACACCGCGGAAGTGATCGCCCTGGTCGGCTTGGTGTGCCTTCGCGGTAATCCCCACACCATCATCACCTCTTTGCGCCATCACTGCACTCTCTCTCGCACTTAACCCCGTTGCAGCAATAAGTACTCCCGTCTCAGATTCGTTCAATCCAGATGAACTCGCACTCAACCAGACTAAAAATCGATTCTCTTACTCCCGCCAAAACAAACTCTGCATCGTAACTTGAGGATGGCACTCGTCTCCACTATCCACGAAAAAAATCACCGGGAGAAAATGAAAACAAGATACTAAACCAACCAACTCCAACCAAGGAGCAATAACGGTGTCTGTCTGTCTCTCTAGCAGGCTTCAAGCCTTCCCACTTGGCATCTCCACCCGCTACACTAGGCTCTCTCTCTCCTCTGTAGACAAAGTGTCTCCTAACCGCTACGTTTCTCTTGTTCTCTTCTTCCCACGCTAGCTTCCTATCACCAGTCCCCTGATCACAGCTCGGGAAAATCTCCCACTCTTTCCCACACTCTCTCTCTCTCCCTCCCTCGCCCGCTCACTCTTTCAATATCATCAAACAATCTGATGCACAGCCAATGTGAATAACGCGAAAAGCCCAAGACACAAACCCGGCAGGCGAAGGTGAGGATACGAGCAAGGCAAGGCAAGGCAAGGGGGGGATACTAGTAGAGCTGGAAGGGTAGTGGAGGGGAGGGGAAGAGAGAGAGAGGGTGGGGAGAAGGAAGGAAGAGGACGTAGGGAGGAGGGTGTGAGTGACAGTGAGTTGGTGGGTGAGTTGAGGTGGGATGGGAGCGAAGACGGAGAAGAAGGAAGGATGAACCTGCGGAGCATGAGAGATATGAGCTTTGTCATCTTCACCCGAATAAACTACTAATACAACTGCTCCCCCGAACCGAACCAACGCAGAGAGAGAAAGAGAGAGAGAGAGAGGCGGGCAGGGACAGGGGCAAGGGGAATGGGAAATGGTGGAGCCCGTCTCCGTCTCGTCTCCCAGCTCGCAACAGCCAGGAACCCCGGTCGCCCATCCCGGCCCGGCCCGGCCCTCACCCGGGCCCCACATCCTGTCGTCAGCTTGCTGTACGAACAAACGCGCATGTCGCAGGGGAACTGTCGACGAGAGAGAGAGAGTTGGGTGGGGAGAAAGGAAGCGGGGAAGAGGGTGGGGAAGCTATCTCCCCTTCCTCCCTCCCTCTCTCTTTCTTCGCGTCCTCGTCGTCCTCGGCCCCCCTCCCCGCGGGGGTTCTCCCATTCCTTTCTCCCCGGGTTTGCTCCCCACCCATGCGCGTCACGCTTGAATCCCGCGACTCCGACCGACGTTGGGCCCGACGTTGGACCCCTTTGAATGATACTGACTGACCAGTCTCGCTTTTCTCTCCTTCGGTGGGGGCAAAGAAGAGTCTAACTAGCCCTACTAGCCCTAGCCCGAGAACTAGCCCAGCTCTGTAGACTAACTGTAGACTGTAGAGAGTATGTAGACTGGAGGTGCCGGTGAAGCCGTGTATGGCGGCTCAGGGTTCCTATCTATCTACCTACCTATCTATCTTTCCCAGCCCGTCCCATCCTCCCTCCCTGCCTCGCTCCCTACCTACCTGCCTGCCTGCCTCGTTTCGTCTGTTCCCTCCCTCTCTCCCTCGCTCCCCTTTTGTTTTGTTTTGTTTTGTGTTGGCCTGGGGTTCTACTCATTCGTCCGATCCCCATGCTCCCCCTACCTGCACCTTTTGTGCTTCCTCATCCGTTTGCTGTGTGTGTGCTTCTGGTAGGACTGGTGTCACCTGCCTGCTGCCCTTGTTGATCAGGACCCCCACCCCCTTGAACCTGACCCAACTCAACCCTTCCTGGCTGCTTCGCTCACTCTCTCTCTAGGTCTTTCTCACCCGGTTTTTCTCTGCCATCTCATTCTTGTTCCTTCTTTATTTGTTTATTTGATGTACTATTACAAATTCTAGCTATTTTATATATTGGTTTCACTTATATATAGTAGTATATATACATATATATATATATATATATATATTCATATGTGGCATCCATGCATGTTCATGTGCAGCTATATCTGATGTAATTGTATTTGGTCAAGTGAAAAAGTTTGGAAGTTGAACACATGATCATGGAACTGTTTTGCTTGGAGTCTATTGTGCAATGAACACAAAGTGCCAGAGACTGGTGACATATGCTTTCATCCAGGCTTATTTTCTCCTTTTATTTATCTTTTTGGTAAAAAATTTGTTCCTTGTATTGTATTTCACACAACATGCTTCATTTGAAAAAAAGTTAAATTAAAAACAGGTGCATATGATTACACATACACACACATGTACATATATATATATATATATATATATGTACTTAATAAACCACTGAGTTCACTACCACATGGACAGATTGAGCATGAAAGCAACTGACCCTGGCCAACCACAGAAGCAGCAGCAGCAGCAACATAATGCCCTTGGCATACCAGAGGCAAGGATCATTAAAACCCCCTTGAACATCCCACAATTAGCAAGTAAAATACAGTATATATATATATATATATATATGGAGCAGCAATCAATTCCCATCGAGCTCACTGATCATGTTTAAAATTATGAGTATATTTTATTATGATGATTTAAAATAAATAACACAGTGGTTATGATGGGGAGTCATTTGCAATGATGTTGCCCCCCTGGACTTGGAGCCATGATTTTTGATGAGCACCAACAAAAAGATGTATTATCATCACCATCAACATCCACAGAAGAAGAAGCAGAAGAAGAAGAGAGAAGAAGAGAGAAGGGGAGGGGGCTCCCTCCTGAACCTCCAACAACTAAGGCAGATAGATGATGCTGAAGCACTCACTGCTCTGCCCTGCTGCAGTGATTTATTAGATTACCCCCCTTCTTTCACACTTTCACTCTGTCTGTCTGTGTAAATATCTCCCTCCTTGCTTTCCCTTTCTTTGCCCTCCCTTTCATGGGTGCATGGAGGAGGAAGGAGGGAGGGGAGGGAGGAGGAGGGGGTTATAAAAGCAGTTGACTGCATGATCCAGCAGGGAGCCTCTCCATTCATTAAATGCCCTGGAGGAGTGATGTCAAATGCCCCTTTGCCAGGTTTGCAGTTCTATCATGTCAGCACCCCACCCCCAATACACACATCCCTCTCCTTCTCTCTCTCTCTCTCCCATTCAGCCTGGCGTTTGCATGCATTTTGTTGACATTGGTGCTTGCAGAGTCTTCCTCTGCTGCTGCTCCCAACCAAACACCTGCATCTACAAAGGCACAGTGGATGTGGACCTTGCAGGACCACTGCATAAAAAATTAAAAAAAAAAAAAAAAGGACACTACCTTGGATTCACATCTGCTGTTGGGAAGGAGTATTTTATGCTTCTCTCTTTCTTTCTTGCCCTGCTCCCTAAGCTTTTTTTACAAGGAGATAAGGATCTGTTACTGCCCCTCCCTCCATTTGGTTTATGTCATTTTTTTTATTTTTTATTTTTTTTCAATCTTTTGGTGTGGTGGTAGGACTAGAATGTATGTCTTTGATGGTCAAAATAATATCATTAGTATCACTCTGCATGAGGTGGAAAAGAGAGGGAGGGAGGGAGAGAGAGAGAGAGAGAGACATACAAGCATTGCCAATCATACTTGATCACATGTGGCCCTCAAGGCTATATTATTCCCTTTGTTTTTGGGATTTTTTGGTCAATATTAAGAAATAATTCGCACACATTTGAGTTCTTAATTGTTGCATATGTATATTTTGTAAATTTTTTTCTGGAATACATGGATATCTAATTACTACATAGCTTGAAAAAAGAAAAAAGAAAAATTGCAACAATTTAATGCTTCACAGAGAATAATAAAACCCATAATATTCTTTTTTTCTGAAATAAGTAAATAAATAAATAATGTTAAAGTTGTTTACAACATCACCCTTTGCCTTCTAAAAGATCACTGCAAATATGATCTTAAGTTACATTTTCAAAATGTGAAGATTATTTTTCAACATTATAATTATCAATGAATCATTGTATGTATATAAGTATGTATGTATGAGTACATGAAATATAGTTATATATATGACTATTTCAATACCTCCTGGAAATATAATTATTCTTAAACTGTCTTAATTAAAAATCCTTTCATGACAGATTAATGACCACATTATATATGAGCATCATGTTCTTTGCAGCAAAAAACTGATGAAAAGCATTTTTCTGTGCCTCTCACTAATTGATGACACCAAATTTAATACTAGTAGTATTCTACATAATATAGTGTAGAATTTTCTTTTATTTCTTTGTAATGTTTTTCAACATTACTTTTTCAGATTCTGCTTACACACATAAAAAATGTAACTACTATCGTTTTTATTAAATATTTATAATTTAGAATGCACTTTCTAAGAAAAATGTTGTTGAAGAAATGAATGCATGTTTCACAGGGGTATTTTTCTTGTCAAAGTTGAGATGTTCAGTAAGATCCATATTACTGGAAAAGAGAATGGAAATTAGTATTCCAAGGTAATATTCCTTTTCAACATTTTCTTCACAATATGAAGTGATTTCTTCACAATATAAAAACTATTTGTCCTGATATATATATTTTTATAATTCCTATTTTTTTATCTTACTTTTGTTGTACGTACATTTATAGACACATGTACACAAAAAAAAACTCCCTGCAGAGGAAGAGCCTCATGCATGGAACTTGGATAAACAGTTGTTGTGTCCTAAGTGGACTTCAAGCAGGATGTGTTTGCCAAGGTCCATTTTGAGCCTGAAGGGGGACCCTTTTTCTATGTCAAAATGGGGGCTATGCAATTCCACACCTACACATTATATATGCCTTTTATGCAAATCTCTCTCTCTCTCTCTCAAACATGCCCTTTCACTGAGAGGGCCACCATTTTCAAAGAGGGTGCCATTTCCAAGTCATCCTCACCAACCCGGTCATCAAGAAAGGGACTTGTTGTGCCTTGAGCCCGATGGACACCATGTGGCTGTGAAAGAAAGGAATAAAATTCCACCTTGACTCCCTCATTTTCTATTCCCAGACCTTCATCTCCCATAAAAGTCCACAACTTTAATTTTGTTTGATTTTACCTTTTTAATGAGTTTCACAATATGAAATTTGGGTAGTTTTTGAAGTGTCATGGAATCTCAAAAGCAAAAAAAAAACAAAAAAATCATGTGTTTGTATGTGTGTTTATATATGTGCATATATATATATATATATATATGAAAATAAACAAACTACTAGAGATAAGTGCATCAGCTGCCAAATATAAGAGAGGGGGACCAAGTGAAGCATGCAAATGGGGGCTCCCAGAAAAAGATGCTAACCAATTAGAACAAGCTAAAGGTTGAACAAGCTTCTTCATGAGAAGAAGTCAAAACTCTCTGTTTAATAGATGTATATATAGATATTTTAGATGTATCAATCACAGTATTACTATACTTCTGCCACCGTTTGTCTTGCTTTGACCCAAAGTAATATGAAGAAGAGAACCAACCAAACAAAGATAATAATATGAGGAAACATGGGATGGATGTTGAGTTGTGGGACCAGCATAGCAGTGTGGCTGACGTGGCAAGGGGATCTCAGAATTACCGTTGACCTGTTTTGGGTCAGTGGAAGGATTGCTGCAGCCACAGAACCCCCCCCAAAAAAAGCTCTACTTCTTTTTCTTCTACTTGCAGCTCTGCTGCACCACCCAGAGCCTGCCACTGCCCACGCACGCTCCCCCAAATCTCCCCAAAAACATTACAAAACAATAAAATAAGCTTCGCACATATCCTTTTCCGTTTTTCGCCACTTCCCCCATATCTTTATCTTTCACTCTCCTTCCACAGAATCCGGACACAAGGAGAGAGAGTGGCACCTTCTTAGATGCCCGCTACCCAC